CAGTCCTGGTGTTGAGATGGAAGACCCATTAACACACGACCTCAAAAGGAAACCATAAAACCGCCCCTGCCACCACCACCATCATCACCTCTAAATGTGAATTCATTTAAATCATAAAATTACATTTTTCTCTCATAGGATGGTAAGGGCGCTCAATGAATAAAGGCATGAGTTCCTCATAACCACAGACCCTTGGAAAATTATTCCCTAAAACTGTAATTCCCCAACTGCTTTGACATAGACCATTATTTGAATAATGTAAAAACCATGGTCTACTGACAGCAGCTAGTCCTCAGGAAGGCCACCAAAGCTCCCCAAAAGAGCTGAGAAGTGTAAATGTTATGGAGATACCAAAGAGAGAACAGTAATGAAGTGTGGCCATGGTTATGTAGAAAAAGCTTGAGATTTGGACTCTTAAGACCGGAGTTGAAAAGTCACTTACCATAACGAAGCCTCAGTTTTCCCTGGGTATAAAATGATTGGGGTTGATAAGATAATCTTTAAGACCTTTTTCAGTTATTAAAGCCCTCTACTGCTAATAAGGTTTACTTTTTTTTTTTTTTTTTTTTGAGTCGGAGTCTCACTCTGTCGCCCAGACTGGAGTGCAGTGGCCGCTCCCGGCCACCGCAGCCTCGATCTGCTGGGTTCCTGCGATCCTTCTGCCTCAGTCTTCCAAGTAGCCGGAATTACAGGCTTGCGCTACCACGCCCGGCTGATTTTTTGATTTATTGTAGAGATGAGGTCTCGCTGCCCAGGCGGGTCTCGAACCCACAGGCTCAGGCAATCCACTCACCTCAGCCTCCCAAAGGCGTGGGATTACAGGCTGAACCACCGAGCCCGGCATAAGGTTTACTTTTAAATAGGTAATGTACTTATGTAGATCAAAAAGAAAAATTAAGAAGATAAAAACAGGATTCTGTCACACATCTTTTGCCTACTCTCACCCTCCCTTAAGTTTTCCCACCACTAGTCCACAACCCCCCACGTGACTATTCTCACTAGTTTCTTATGCAACCACAGAAATATGAGCAAACACAAGTATACACTCTAATTTACCTCTTCCCTAACCAAAACAAGGTATCCTATGATATCCACTGTGACACACATAGTATGTCTTGGAGATCTTTTTGCAACAGTTCATAGATTTCCCTCATTCTTTTTAACTGTATAGTTTCCACGAAATGGATATCCAAAATTATTTCAACAATTCGCTGCTGATGGGCCCTTGGAATTTTTCCTTTTCTACTGCTATTATAAGTAATGCCGAAAAACAAACAAACTTTCATGTGTATTATCAGTATAGTATAACTTTAAAAGAAATCTCCAATGGTGGAATTGCTGAGTCCGTGGGCAAACGCAACTAAAATCGTGGTAAAATTTGCCAAACTGCCATGCACACAATTGCACCTTCCTACACTACCTCAGCGGCAATGTCTGAGAATCTTTGTTCCTCTACATCCCAGTCAAAATTGAAGTTCCTCTTTCTTTTTTGTAATTTTATGTCATCCGATAAATACACACCATCTCAATAGGATTTTCATTTTTCTCATATTATGATAAACGTGCGTAAGAGTCACTGTTACTTATTGTGTACTATTCTGCTCTTTTTCTATGTCCATTTACCTGTAAGTTACTGGTATTTTAATGGCATGTAAGTTAATATTCTACTATTTCAAGAAAATAGTGCTGAACCAATGACATTTATCACTTCTTGAATGTTTCAAGGGCTTAAAAAGAGTTATCAGTGAGATTTTCTTACCAGAAGGTACTAACCACAATTACTCAACATTCTATAAATAATATATAATATTCATAAAGAAATACTCTTTTTGAGATTTTAAACACAATCTCACTTTCAATAAGTGAAGGAGCAATCTGGAAAAATACATGAAGATAATTTCACCTCACTAAATACCACAAATACTTGGATAAAAGAGAAGACATGATCATCACAGCTAGATATTAAGGTATAAAAACATTTAACATATAGGCGGCTGGGTGTAGTGGCTCACGCCTATACTCCCAGCACTTTGGGATTGACGAATAAAGCACCGCTGCACTGGCAAATTCCCAAAGAATCCACATGGCACAGCATCGGAGTTTACTAGGTTCTGGTCTTAGGTCATCAATAGTCACGCGAAAAAAATGATTGTTAAAAACCTAAGGAAAAAAAAATAGATCTAAAGGTGAATTCCTCTTTATTACATAGAATGCTAGTACACAACACTGGCATAGCTTCCAAAGGCAATGAATATATTTCAATGAGAGAATTGCCTGAGCCCATGGGTTCAAGATCAGCCTGGGCAACTTGATCAGCCTGGGCAACTTGACAAGACCACATCTCTACAATAAATTTAAAAAAAATTTTTTAATTTAAAATATAAAAATATTCCATTTTAAATCTTTGAACAGTTCTTTCATTGCAAGCTTATAAGTTCAATTTCAGTAATGTAAAACAATTTTCCTAATAATATAAAGAGCAAGTATCCCTCGAAGAATTTTCCTCATAAATTTCCAAGCTATGCCAACAATCTGTTTTATACAATTATGCATAAAATACAGAAATGTATTTAACAATTATAAAGACACAGATAACCATGTAACCTCCACCATGTAACCTCCACCATAACGCAGTGGTCAAGCAGCCAAAATGCTGATATAATATGCTTGCTATGTCTACCTTTTTTTTACTATGTGAGCAAATACTCAACCAGTTTTATTTTTAATCTTAGATGGGTTTTACTACTAAGGAGAAATCTGCAAAGTCTAACCAAGGAGCATCTCAGATATTTATAAAAAGTCTTCCTTCAATGACACAGGACCCATGCCCCCCACATGCTTCCATTAAGCAATTCAGAAAAAAAAAACAAAGGATGGTGTCTCCAGCTTTCAAACTTTGTGAAGACCCATAGCTGAAATCCTGCAGTAGGAAAGGACTTCTTACTGACTACGAATAGATTGTTGATAAAATAAAACCTGTATGGACACAGTAAAGGATTATAAAAATACTTAGACATTTGACTGGGCATGGTGGCTCACGCCTGTAATTCTGGTACTCTGGGAGGCTGAGGTGGGAGGACTGCTTGAGCCTAGGAATTCAGGACCAGCCTGGGCAACATAGTGAGACCTCATCTCTACAAAAAATAAAATAGTTAGCCAGGCGTGGTGGCGCACGCCTGTGGTACCAGCTACTTGGGTGGCTGAGGCGGGAGGATCACCTGAGCCCAGGAGTTTGAGGCTGAGCTGAGCCGTGATCGTGCCTGGGTGAATCCTGTATCAGAGTCCTCCCCGCTGTCACAGGACAAGTCTCAGGACCCAAGTCTCAGGACCAACTCTCCACATGACCTTGGGCAAGTTACATAAGCTCTCTGTGACTAAGTGTCTTCACAGCGTTATTTTGAGACTTGAATGACTTAGGCACTCAAAACAGTGACTGGAAAACAACGTTCCCTGGATGTTCACTGTATATCCCAACCGCACACCTTGAATCTGAAGTGTCAACAGATTGGAATTCTTTTTTGAGGTGGGATCTCACTGTGTTGGCCAGGTCTCAGAGCAGTGGCATAATCCCAATTCACCACAGCCTTGACCTCCTGTCCTCAGGCAATCCTTCGGCCTCAGCCTTGTGAGTAGCTGGGACTACAGGCGAGCGTCACCATGTCGGCTTATAGGGATGAGGTCTCACTATTTTACCCAGGCTGGTCTCGAACTCCTTGATTCAAGCCGTCCTCCTGCCTCAGCCTCCCAAAGTGTTAAAATTGCTGGCGTAAGCCACCATGTTTGACCCAGATTAGAAATATTCAAAAGCACTTCCATGGGGATGAGTACAGAAGAATGAAGTTAAAAGCCCAGCAGAGTACAGTTCTATGAAAGGTAAGCTAGGCACAGCACAGGAAGGCCTCCAGGGGAACTGGAACTTAACCCATGGGCATTAAGTTATTCTCTCAATGGGGTGAAACATCACAAGTAACCCAGTCCCCAGAGGTTACTGAGGAAGAAGTCAGTACAAAACCCTTTAGGATTTGAGGGTGTCTTAAAACCTCCCCCCAGTAAGCTTATTTTTCTAATCTTTTTCATTTTCTCTTCCACTCCTCTCCTTTTCTTCCTGCCCATATTCCCACCATCCATCTTACTACTCTCTTCCTGAATCAGCCTTGGATCTACAGGGCAAACAAACCACGCTGGTAAGCTTGCAAGTGTGGTACTTTCTAACAGTGCGGTTCTCAAATCCCAGTCTAGAAGGACAGAAATGCACGCTGGCTCCCAACTTAATTTGAACATGTCATAGCATCACATGAATGGAGGACAGCCAATGGATTCTGGGGAAAATCTGGCTTGTTGAAAATAAAAAGAAGTGCTTCACTGGCATCCTGTTGCATTTTAAAGCCACACTCAGACCCTCCCACGTCTTAAACCTCAACACTCTGCAATAGTGTACCCTCTGTCACACCAGCAGCACAGCTGTTAATAAGGTCGTAAGTGACAGGGACATGATGGTAGACAGAAGAGGACGGAGAAGCCCAAGGCGCACACCTCCCTGGGAATGACGCCTATGTCCAGCTAGCTAAGAAGAACATTATATTTCTAGTCCATCTTCCTTCTTTTTTTTGAGTCAGGGTCTTACTGTAGCCCAGAATACAGTGGCACGATCACGGCTCACCACAGTCTCAAATTCCTGGATTCAGGCAATCCTTCCACCCCAGCCTCCCGAGTAGCTGGGACTATAGGTATACCAACATGCCCAGCTAATTTGCTTTTTTGAGTCTGTAGAAATGAAGTCTCACTATATTGCTCTGGCTGGTCTCGAACTTGTGGGCTTGCCATCCTCTTGCTTCGGCCTCCCAAAGTGCTGGGATTACAGGTGAGAGCCACCACACCCAATCGGTTCTTTACAATATAAACTTCTCCAGATTAACAAAAGCATCACTTCAGTGACAGTTGGGAGGGCCAGACACCCTCCCGAGTCACCCAAACCCTGCAAATGTTCACAGAATACAAACCTTTGGGAGGAGTGAGGTTGACTCCATTTTTAAGGCACCATTGTACTGGCAAAATCCCCAAAGAATCCGCATGGCACAGCACTGAGAGTTTACTAGGTTCTGGTCTTAGGTCGTCAATAGTCACTTGAAAAAAATGATTGCTAAAAATCTAAGAGAAAAAAAAAATAGAGCTAAAGGTTAATTTCTCGTTATTACATAGAATGCTAGTACATAATACTGGCACAGCTTCCAAAGGCATTGAATATATTGCATCAAAATGATTTAACCACAAACTGACATTCCAGTGTCTATTACTAAATTAATCCAGCTGCTAAATAGTTAGAATTGATCACTGTGGTCCTATTAATAAAAACCTAGAAAATATAGAAGAAAGAGAATGAACACAAAACAAAAAAACCTCAAAGACTTAGAGAAGTGAACTAAAGGCCATAGCTGGAAGAAAAATGAATTGATGGAGCCAAACTCCAGCTTAGATGACAGCCAAGATGGGAAATGAAAGGTCAAACAGGGTTCCCAGTGGCCACAGCAGGCACCAAACTCCTTATACCAGATCATTCAAGACTCTCCACTAACATGGAGGCTCATATTTGTAATCCTCTACTTTGAGAGGCCGGGGCAAGAGGATCTTGGGGGCCAGGAGTTCGAGACTAACCTGGGAAACCTAGTGAGAACTCTGTCTCTATTACCAACAAAGGCTAGGTGTGGTGGCTCGTACCTATTTCTAGTTATAGTATTTGGGAGGCTGAGGTGGGAGGATTGCTTGAGCCTAGGAGTGCAAAGTTACAGTGAGCTGTAGTCGTGCCCCTGCACATTAGCATGAGTGACAGAGGTAGGGTTTGTCTAAAAAAAATTGTGAAAAAAGAGGACCTCCTGGGTCTGGTATGGGGATTTGTAGTCTCACCCCACATCACATCCCTCTGAACACCTGACCCTCCACAGAGGAGACCACCCACACTAAGCTTGTCCTTCCTCAGCCTTCTCCTAGACTACAACACCCAACTCCATGTTTAAGCCACCAAAACACTGCATTTTTCAGGTGCACCCCAAATTTCAAGCTGCTGATCTGATTGGAGGAAGAGCCACTGCTCTGCGCACCAAAAGCTCCAGACCTGAAGCTCTGTGCTAAAAATGCTCATTCCTTCCTGCAGACTATAGACAACACTTCTATCTTCAGTAGAACCTATGTTCTTTGAGGACAGTGGCCTGCTTTTTATTCCCAAATTCATGGTTTCCCATGGAAACTGCCTTGTACATAGGAACTAGATAAATGTCCACTGAGTATAAGAAAACCACAACAATGAAGAAAAAGGAACAAGGCATACTGGTGTAAAAGAACAAACAAACAAAAAATCGAGGGCAAAATGAGGCAGACTGACGCTGAAAAGCACAATGAATTAAACAAACTCAGTATGTAAAATGGGCCAGAAAAAAAGATCCCTTTCCCAATGCAACAGACATAAACCAGTCTTTCTTAGGAAACCTTATGAGCTTTGACTGAGCTGTGACTCCTGGCTCTTCCATTTTTTTCTAGAAGCAATCTAGTTCAAAGCTAAGCAGGAGAGGAAACTCACTTCTGTGAATCCCAGCAAATAGTTAAAATTCTGCTGAGTGAGGTTTGCCTTAAAAGTCAATTTAGGGAGCAAAGGATCAAATTTGGCCCATGAGGCCACCCCCAACAGTGCTATTGAATGTCCACCTCAATGTCCCTTCCCTGACGCATTTTTCTCCTTAGCACTTAACATGCATTTAGCATTTAACATGACATACTGTTATGTAATTATTCCTTAGTTTTATTATTGTCTGTCTCCTTCTATCAAAACATAAACTCCATAGTAGCAGAGACAATGTTTCCACTGTCCAGAGTAAGTGCCTCCAGAAATGCTCCATAAATACCTGCTAAATTGCTGTGATCTAGTCCATCATGCAAATATACACATACTTGCCTACATAAACGCACACAATTCGGGTCAGATCTACTGGCTCCTGCCTGTGGTCCCAGCTACTCAGGAGACTGAGACGGGAAGAAGAGTGCCTGAGCCCAGGAATTAGAGACCTGCCTGGGCAACACAGTGAGATCCCAACTCAAAAAGGGGGGGGGGGAAGGCATGTAATTTTGGTGGCAAGATCTCCTAGTGTCAAGGAATCTTATAAAGATAGACACTAAGGACACTTCTAAAAGCTGTTAAAACTCAGGCTCACTAAGGACATCCTTCTGAGGAAAGGTTCATTCAGTAAATTTCATCAAATCCACCAGGATCCAAGTTCCCAAGAGGTCGGAACCACTGCTTTGTGCTTCACGCTTGCTGTCCAGAAGACACAGGTCTCAAAACTAAAGCCCAGAGCAGTCAAGTGACTCACCCAAGACTGCACAGCTCAGAGAGAGAAGAAAGAGAAGAGGAACCCATGACTTCTGATCCCAACATCCTTTCATCTAACCAACACATCTCACTTACACAGATGACGTCATCACCATCTGTCAATATCTCACACTGTTCGGGAACACCAAAACTAATCCCAGTGCACTGCCAAGGCTGGTCATTGAATGCTGGATCCCCCACACGCCTGTCTGCATCCTTGTCTGTGTGTTGCCATACCCTTCACATCTTCAACAGTTGGGTCACCAAGCAAAGCACCAAGGAAGGGAAATGAAACTTTCACAGTGACGAGTCATGACAGCACGGTGTGTGATATTTTCAAATGCAACACTCAGAAGCATTTTCCAGTGTTTGGAGAAATAGATGTAATTGTAAATATCATCTACACTAAGCATATTCTAATACCGCATGACATGAAGAAGTCTTGAACCTGGAGAGGTGCCTTGCCAGCTTCTAAGAGACAGAAACACAGCCCAGAGCATGCATCATTCAACACACGATTGGTAAGGGAAAAAGGAGTATACAGAAACTGCATAATACAGTTAATCTTTGGTACGAAGGGGAAGAAAAAGTAAAATAAAAAGGAAAACATAGTTTAAAGATCAATAAAAAACACCTTTTCCTTCCCCTTAATGAGATCTATTTAGAGAAAATTGTTTATTGTGAAAAACCAGGAAGTCTACCCAACGAGACAAAGATAATTGGGCTGAACTAATTTTGATCAGCATGTCACATTCTAACAGCACATATTACAATTATTTAAAGGTGTAAGAGTGGGAGAGAGGCCACCACTGACAGGCTGTGCATACCAGCTCTGTTTGGTTTAGCTTATAAATGCTGGTGGATTGACACTGCAGCCTTTCAGGAGAAGGACAATGGGACAGATGTCCAGACCAACGGGCAGCTGACACAAATGAACCACTGCTGCTGCAACAAAGGGAAATTCTGGCCAGGATTCAGCCAGGTACAAATGCCTCCGTTTTGGGCTGGGCCCAGTGGCTCATGCCTGCAATCCCAGTACTTTGGGAGGCAGAGGCTTGGGAGGCGGGAGGATTTCCTGAGCCCAGGGGTTCGAGACCAGCCTAGGCAACTGAGCGAGACCTCGTCGCTACCATAAATCAAAAAATTAGCTGGGCATGGTGGTATGCACCTGTAGTTCTAGCTACTCGAGAGGCTGAGGCAGAAGGATCACCTGAGCCTAGCAGGTCAAGGCTGCAATAGCCATGATCACGTCACTGCACTCCAGCCTGGGTGATAGAGAGAGTTTGACTGAAAAAAAAAAGCCTCAGTTTTGGAAAATTACATGATAACTATCAGAAAACATAGTTGTAAAAAAAAAGGAAGGAAGGGAAGGGAAGGAAGGAAGGAAGCAAGCAAAGCCAGAGGCCACTTCAAATACAAATAGGTTTATTGGGTTTTTTTTTGAGTTGGAGTCTCACTCTGTCACCCAGGCTGGAGTGCAGTGGCCGTTCCCGGCCACTGCAGCCTCGACCTGCTGGGCTCCGGCGATCCTTCCGCCTCAGCCTTCCAAGTAGCCAGAACTACAAGTGCGCGCTGCCACACCTGGCTAGTTTTTTGATTTATTGTAGAGATGAGGTCTTGCCAAGTTGCCAGGCAGGTCTCAAATCCGCGGGCTCAGGCAATCCACTCACCTCTGCCTTCCAAAGCGCGGGATTACAGGTTGAGTCACGGAGCCTGGCATAAATAGATTTTTAATGGAAGGAAAATAAATGAAAATGCATGGGTTTCATCTCAAGATGATCATACATAGCATATGTTAGTATTTTTTCTTCAAATAAATTACCTTAAATATTTAAGGCTATTCTTTAAATAAACTACTTTAACAGTTATAAAAAGCAATTATGTTCACTACAGGAAAAACATTTAGAAAAGAAAAACAAGCATTTACTCTAAGCATTTTTCATATTCTGTAATGCACATTATCACCACTAAGTTTCTCCAAGTTTTACCGAACTGTAAGACTTTTTTAAAAATCATGACTCAAATAATACTAAACAGAAATCATTGCATGAACAAATCCAGTTTCCCTAAGAAAAAGGTATTAAGGTGGAATTGACTTTTGAGTCTGTAATTAAATTCTCCCACTGAAATACACAAAAGGCCATTAACAGAAACACACATTGCCTAAGAATGTTGTTTCTTAGTTCTTCTCGCCACTTATAAGAAGACACTTAAGAGACTTAAGGCAGAAACAGGCAATTTAGCTTTGACCATAGATGATGTCATTGAGAGATCTTCTATGGGGAAGGGATCTTATCTTAACAGACTATCTGATCATCATAAAAATGACTTTACATGAAGATGGAATTTCACTTTGAATCTGCAGACCGCAGAAGCATGAGTCTTTCTTTGGTCAAAGGAGGTAGACGAGAAAAAGGACTCAGAAAGGCTGACCCGTGGGAGGCGAGAATCTGCTTGCCACTAATTTCAGTTCTTTTCCAAACATAAATAAGAATCCTATTCACTACCATCCATGCAGCCGGAACAAGTGACTCTTAGAATGACAACAGTACAGGGGACAAGGGAAAACATTCCCCTCTACGTTCTCAGAGGCGGCATCTAGGCTCACGCAGTGCCCCTAGCCATTAGAAGGACCGAAGGCTGGGCTGGACCAGAGAGGCAGCAGGCTTCTTTTGGCTCAGCCAGGGTGCTGGTATCCTTGTGCGGGTGTGTTTCCCTTGGTTGGCTTTGAGTTCAAAGGCTGAACTGGATCCACTAGGGGGCTCTGGGCGGAGAGCAAGGGCTTAGACTCACCTTAGTCACTGATGCAGGACAGATATGGAAGGGCTCGCTTGGATTCACTGTTTCTAGCTTCATTCCAACTGTGAAGAAATGACTTCTCAGATCCGCATGGTCCTGCGGGGAGAAAGATACAAACACTGAAAGCAGCGGTCCTAAGAATTACCTCGGCGACTGCCCGGATGCCATCCTTGGGCGTGTTACAGGGCAACTGAAATCTGATATAAATCATGAACCTTCCCTGTTTCAAATCTCTAATTATTGTGAGATACTGCAGATTTGATTATTTTCTGCAGGCCAAACTGCTTTTCCAAGGGAGAGCCAACCAGCCTTTGTGGCCATGCTTAAATTTATACTAAAGGAAAAAAAATCTGCATCCCCATTGCGTTGCTCTTCTGAGATGCCGCTGAGAGCAGCAGAGTCATGGAGGTGATCCGGCACCCGACACACAGCAGGGTTGTCTTCTGAATACGTGGCCTCTTGCTGCTGGACTTATGTGAACAGGGCTTCAGCGAGTGGGGGACGGGGGAGGGGAGAGAGTCGGCCCCTGCCTCGTGTGTCTAAGAGACACCGCTTATTGGTAGGGAGCCACAGGTCTTAGGAGATGGGTGCAAGTAAGATTCCTAACCCTGCAGAACCTGACTGCTGATCAGGAAACACGAGCCACACCCTCTTGTAAGAGGCCTCTGGAAGTCTTACAACCTGCTCACAGCAACCTCCTGTGACAGAGACAGGGCTTTCCCTCCTCTTCAGGAAAACGCATCTCAAGATCCACGCCAGCCACGCAGCCACAGAGGTGGTTGGCTGGACTCTGGATACCTGAATTTATCTTGCGGAGATGGAGGTTGCCTTGTAACTTGCGGTCTGGATAAACAGCCCTGGACAAATAAATGGATTTGCAGTCTGTCCCTGGGGAAATAACAGCTGTGAATAAATTCTGTGATTCCTAAATATACCAATAGGGTGTGGAGTACAAAAACACCCAGGGACCTATTCCTTTCCTTTATCCACAATTCGAAAGTGGATTTTTGATGAGTTCAGTGATGTCCCTCTGAGGATCGCACAGAACCTGGGGCTGCTGAGCCTGGTCCCCCACTCTCAACGCTGGTCAGTATCGTCAATGGTCAACAGAAAATCTGAGAAGAGAAACCGCTTATGAAACGCTCCATGCTCTGCCAGAGTCACCAAACACAAACACCACAGGACATATAGGATCTGTTCCATTTTTCATGTCCCCACCACCGTCTGCAAAGGTCTCTGCATGCAGGATGCACCAAAAAGAATCCCAGGTCTGGGTGAAGCACACAGCGCCACATCCAGGAAGGGTGTTCATTGGAACAAGAGGAAATGCGGTCAAAGACAACCAAAACCAATCAGAGGAGAACCAGCCCATGCTAAACCTTTAACAAAATTCCTGAAGAACTTACAATCAATCCTTCAGCACAAGGAAACAGTAGGTGCAAGTGATGACCTTCACCTTTTATGCTGCAAACAGAACATTTATCTATATAATTTACATTTTTATTTGTTTGCTTGAGATGAGGTGTCACTATGTTGTCCGGGCTGGTCTCCTGGCCCCCAATGGTTCTCCCACCTTAGCCTCCCAAAGTGCTGGCATTACAGGCATGAGCCACCCCACCTGGCCCAAAACGCTGATTTTTAAAGGTTGCTGGGGGAAGGTGAGTCAGAAAAGAAAAGGAAAAGAAAGCAACAATGTCGACAGTTGAAATGTATTGACACACGCCAGCCACAATGCCAAGACAGGACCTTAAACCACAGGTGCTGAAACATCAAAACTAAAGCAAACTTGACGCGCTGACATCTGAATTAAAAAGTGACTTTGGATGCTTCTAGCAGAAAAAGAAAAATATTTAAGGTGACAGATTCCCAATTACACTCATCTGATCCTTGCACATTATATGAATGCATGAAATCATCACATGTACCTCAATTATGTATTAATTTCTAAAATCTTAAACATTAAAAAAGATGGACAGTTAGTGTTCCGATTAGACCCCAGTGCTCCCAGGACCGTCAATGGGAACTGAGTCATGTTCCTGGATCCTGCAGGTAAATATCTTTCCCCATTTACTCTTTTGAAGAGAAGAATTATTTAAAAATTAGCATATAATAAAACTTTGCCTGAATGTACTCAACAAGTTCCAGCAGCCAACACTATGCTATTTGCCAATACAAAAATGCCCGTGGGTACTCATGGGCACACATTTATAACCATAAAAAGGCCCAGATGTGAGGTTGTGGAGAAAAGGGAACACCTACACACTGTGGGTGGAAATGTAAATCACTAAACCTCTAGGGACAGGTGTATGGAGATTACTCAGGAACTAAAAATAGATCTACCATTTGATCCAGCAATCCCAATGCTAGGTATCCACCCGAAGGAACAGAGGTCATTAGACACCTGCACCCACATGTTCATGACAGCATGATTCACAATGGCAAAGATGCGGAATCAGCCTAAATGCCCATCAATCGATCAGCAGATAATGAAAATGCGGTATCTATACACCACCGAATACTATTCAGCCATCATAAGGAATAGAGTAACGTCTTGCAGCAACTTGGATGGAATTGGAGAACATCATTCTAAGAGAACCATCTCGGGAACAGAAAACCACATGCTGCATGGTCTCACTTACAAATGGGAGCTAAACTAAGCATCGACAAAGACAGAGAGAATGGTGTCATGGACACCGGAGACTCCGAACGGGGAAGGGACGGAGGTAAGAAAAAGCACCTGTTGGGTCCGATGTGCACAGCTGGGGGTGGTGGGCACACTCATCCCCCAAAGGTATTGACATTTATTTTCATTTATCTTTTTGAGTCGGAGTCTCACTCTGTTGCCCAGGCTGGAGTGCAGTGGCACGCTCATGGCCACCGCAGCCTCGACCTGCTGGGCTCTGGCGATCCTTCCCCCTCAGCTTTCCAAGTAGCTGAAACTACAAGCATGTGCCACCACACCTGGCTAATTTTTGATTTATTGTAGAGACGAGGTCTCACCAATTTGCCCTGGCTGTTCTCGCACCCGTGGGCTCAGGCAATCCTCTCGCCTCGGCCTCCCAAAGTGCTGGGGTTAGAGGCTTGAAGCCACCGTGCCCGGCGGTATTGAAATTTAAAAACAAAAAAGGCCCAGACAAATGTAATGGTTTCCTTGGAGCCCTGCTTCCTTCTCTGCTGTGGCCCCCCCTCCTGGCTGTGCCATGCTGCTCTCTCACCACCCACAGCTACAAGGCTGGCAGTCTCAAGATCTGGATCACCCTGCAGGAAACAGTCACCTTTCCCCAGCTGCTCCTGCCACCAGGGCCTGTCCCTAGAGTTTTGGCAGCAGGGGCTGTCCTCACAGCCATCAGGCTACAGGCCTGCCTCTTAATTCCTCCATTCTAGCATCTCTGCTCCGACCATACTTGCTCTCTGAGTAGTGCCAGCTTTCTGAATAGGGTTAACTCACACCCCTAGGTTCCTTCTACATCCCAGGTTGAAGCTGACCGCTGACTTGGAGTCTTTGGCCAAGTCCACCCCCACCCTTTTCCCATGCTCCAAGCCCTCCCGGAAGGTGTTGAAACTCTGTGACCTCAGGAATCCTACCCTTCTCTGCTGCCTTACTGTGTCCACGTCTAGAAGAGACCAGGCAGTGGCTGCCTCTCCTTAGAAATAAAAAAGAAGCTGGGCTCAGTGGCTCAGCCTGTCATCCCGCGCCTTTGGGAGGCTGAGGTGAGTGGATTACCTGAGCACGCGGGTTTGAGACCCGCCTGGGCAGGCGAGACCTCATCTCTACAATAAATCAAAAAATCAGCCGGGCGTGGTAGCGCATGCCTATAATTCTGGCTACTTGGAAGGCTGAGGCAGAAGGATGGCCAGAGCCCAGCAGGTCGAGGCTGCGGTGGCCTGGAGCGGCCACTGCACTCCAGTCTGGGCGACAAAGTGAGACTCCAACTCAAAAAAAAAAAAGAAAGAAAGAAAGAAAAAAGAGCAATTTGTTCCTCAGATAACCCTCTCTGCCCAGGGCTAAGGACGCTAGTGTAAATGTTTATCCTTAATGACTTCACCAGTTACAACTGATCAAATCACATGTTGCAAATGCCTCCAATTGCATCTTCCATTAAGAGGGGATGGTTGCCCTCAGGCAACATGCAATCTCCTCCTTCTCTCCTGGATTGATGTGTGTGTGTGCACCCATCTTTGCTCTTCCATAAAAACGAACACAAACATCGAAGCCATACATGGCTACATGTGGAATAAAAATGAAAACAGCGTGCCATTAAAATATTTTTAAGTGATTTAAAAATAATGCCTCATAAGTATTATTCCAAAGATTTTAGGAACTGGTTTTTCTTTCACGAGTCTTGGCTCAGATCTCAAATTATTTCCACCAGGTTTCAGGTGTGTGATAGAGACGTATTTGGCCTTTGTCCCCGGTTGTTGGCACACAGCTCTTCAATCCCTTGGAATTTCCCCAGTGGCAGGAGCATCTTTTGTTGTAATGAGGCCACTCTTGGTGGGCTCTTGGTGGAGGTATGTGGCCAGAGAAATCAAGGCATGATTCACCCCTGCTCCCCAACCTCTAGGGAGGGAGAAGGGGCTGGAGACTGAGCTAATCACCTATGGTCAATGATGTTAGTCAATCACGCCTGTGGAATGAAACTCCCAAAAAACCCCTACGTGTCGGGGATCTGAGAGCTTCCTGGTTGCTGAACGCTCTCTCATTCTAGGAAGACAGTGCACCCTCCCAGTCCTTGGGGTCAGAAGCCTCTGACCTTACAGTCCTCGCCCGACATACCTCTTCCATCTGGCTGTACATTTGAACCCTTTATGGCATTCTTCACAATCAACTGGTAATGGTAATGAAATCGCCTATGTCAATTAATTATCTTCATGACCTGACCCCTGGGTAAGCAGGTCCCCTCTCACCCAAGGCTGATAACATATTCTCTTTTGAACAACTGGCTTGAAACCTCTATGATGGTTTCCTGCCCAGGGGGGTGGTACCTCACAGTCACAGGACTTGTTACAGAGACCATCTATTGTCAAACCTAGGAATGGTGTTTGAGATATTTTCCAGACTTTGGACTCCAAGCCCCACCTATATAAAGAAGCTC